ATGTACCTCCTCTGTTATACATCAGCTGATCAGTTGTTTACAACACAACACCCTTACTGGGTGGTTAGTATTCCTTCCAGTATTTATTAATTCAATATGTCCACCTTTTACTTTGTTTTCTGTCATATTTAAGAATGGACCACATACTATCACTATTTGACAATTAATAAACTTTACAGTGGGATTCATACAGTACATTTACTCACTTTGATCGGAAAGTATTTAAACGTAGATAACTACTGACTTTTTGTTTGATTAAAACATTTTGATTAAATTTATTGTAAATTTAAAGGTATTTTTGGGCATTACATTGAGTCTACATCTATTGTCTTTACTTGTAAGGTGAAATTAATACAATTTCTGTTTCCCTTTTTATCAGGAGCATTATYCTCTAAGTACTGCAATAAAAAAGGAACTTGGAGCCAGTCATTTCTAATTTATTTTCACTTAAGATTTATTTATTGCATCATCACACAAAAGCATCAAATAATACAGCAACAAAAAGATAGGACAAAAAAAGACTATTACTATGGTGTTGTTAACTTCTTACTCCTAAAAATTTTTTTCATTAAAGAAGGTATTCTGCAAAATCAACTTGTTCAGCTTTATATCATGTTGTAACTTCATTCTCCCATCAAAAACATTCCCAGAGTCTTGCTTTGACTCATTCATGCATGTTTGAGAMATCCTTGAATCTACTGTGGATGCCATGTGGAGCTGCCTAAACTCTCTCTAGTACAAAGCACCGCCTATTTGTACAAATCACCTGTCAGAGCTCAGTCTAAATCCTAGTTTCTACCCCACAGAGCACCCCTCCCTCAAAACATTCTTTGAAAATGTGCTAAAGTGAGAGTGTCTGAAATGACAGGAGGTTGGTATTCATAGGCTATAATGTAAAGTTACATTAATTTAGACAAAAACATTTGCAAAACAACTGAAGAAAACATAGTTACTTAATTTTGGTATTTAACGATTTGCCTGGAAAATACACAATACTGCCCCTTTAAACAAAAACTAAATATTTAAAATGTATCAACAAGAAATGGGAAAATATTCAAGTTATTTTACTATATTAAATCTTTGACATGCCATAGTTATTTTTTGTTCATTAAATATTTCTTGGAGTTCTTTTCTGGCTGAAATAATATGATGTAACACTTTGGAGCAAATATACACAGTATCAGTC